GATGGCCGCCGCCGCTGCTTCTCCCGATGGCCGCCGCCGCTGCTTCTTCCGATGGCCGCCGCTGCTGCTGAATGTTGTTGTTGTTGTTGATGAATTATTAGGGTTGTAGTGGTAGTAGGACCAGTGTTACTAGAATGCATTTCGTAGTGAAAAAACACTAAACAGCTCACTGGGGGTAAATTGGTCATTTTAACCAGTTCTATCCTGTCCTGTCATGTCTTACCAAATGCTGAACAGCTGTCCTGTCCTGTCCTGTCCCGTCCTGTCCTGTCCAGTCCAGTCCAGTCCTGTCTGCGCACCAAACGCACCCTAAATAAACAAAAAGTTTGCTAAAGACCCTTAAATGGTAATTTTAAAACTTGGTTCCCTAAAATAGGAACAAGTTAAAGTTGGTTCCATTTTATTGTAATTTTCCCTATAATTAAATCAAAAAATATTCAATATTTAGTTCATTTTGAAGGTATTGACGAGATGATTATAATGATATAATTTGTAAAAAGAAAACATATTTTTCAATGTATTTTTGTTCATATACAATTATTTATGTTAATATGATAAGGGTGTAAAATGAAAAAGTGAAAAATATAAAGTAAATCAAATAACTAATTATAAGAATATAAAGTGTAATTTAAAAATATAATAATGATTTGATTTTTAATATATGAAAAATGAAAAAGTGATAAATATAAAGTAAATTAAATAACTAACTGTGAAGCTTTAAAATTTATACATTAAGCTTATAAAATTGTATCTTTTAAAATTTCAAGAATAACTGTAACTCTTCTTTTATAAAAGAGTATAGATAATATATATATATGGGTTTAATCTTTTGTAAAGTCTTAAGTTTGTAAAATCCGTAAAATCCATTTTAAATCACTAATTTAAGATAATTGATGTTATTAGTTGATGAGATAATTACGTTATTTATTAAACAAAAAAAATATCTTTTTAGCAAATTTCACACACACATATATATATATATATATATATATCCTCTCTTATCTAACATACACACGTACAATTAAATATACACATAAAATTAACATAATGTAAACAAGTTTAAGAAATTTTTACTAGAGTGTTCACAATATGTTCACAAGATTCATATGGTGTTCATAAATGGTAGATTTAGATTTAATTTTATTGATTTAGTTGACGTTCACAATATGTTTGAAAGCTATATCAAATCTTGTAGATTTAAAATGTGTTCACAATGTACTCACAGACCATGATAATATTTTCTAAGAAAGTGTTCACAATGTACTAATCTTGTATGCATATTTAATCGTGCACGTACATATATGTTATGAAGAGACGAAAAATGAGAGAGGGAATATGAGAGAGAAGATGAGAGAAAAAGATGAGAGATATTTTTAATTTAAATTAGATTTTATTTTTCAACTAATTTTTTATGGTCTAAATTGAATATTTAAGGATTTCACGAATTAGAAAGTTGATAAAAGAAAGCCCTAAATTGGTCTAAATTTAGCATTTTGAAACATTGAATAACTTGTAGAATAACATGTTAAAGACATTAAGTTATATAACATTAAAAAATATTTAATATTGGACTCATTTCAAACACATTAACTAACGGTATAAAAGCAAACAACTTACTACTTGTGGTTTCCCCCAATGGCTTGCGACGTGGGTTTAGAAGAACTAACCTTAAAGTCTCGAAAAGTCGCAAATCATAAATAAAAGATGATGTACCACATTGGCTTTTGGATTTTTGAACATTTTGTGAAGAAGAAAAAAAAGTAGGATGTGAACATAACCCATTATTTTATGTTGTTGATTTTGCTGCAATTTGAAGAATAGATATATAAAGTTGAGCATTTCTTTTTACAAAAGCTCATTCTTTAACTTCTCATCCCATGGCTCCTCTCCTCTCAGGAGAGTTTCACATCCAGATTGAGTTGCATGACAGAGAGATCATTTCCGTGAAAACCTTGCAGGACAGAGAGATCGTTTCCATGAAGACCACCTCCAACTTGCAGTTGCAAAGGTAGGTTCAAGGCAAAGGTCACCCGAGGGCCCTAAGGGATTAGTCGAGCACAGACTCAACTGGGTAACAAAAAAAATGTAAATTGAGAATGGAAAACCATGATCACTACACATGTTTAGCCTTTCCTACAAAAATGAAAATACACTTCCAGTTTCTTGGGTCATGATTCTCATCTCAAGGATCTCTACAACCAAAGAGACCACACAGGAGAAGCAAGGGAAATATAAAGTAGAAATAGGTTTACAGGTGAATTTTCAAGAGTCATATGCTATTCACATGTGAAATAACCTGTTCCTCTGATTGCCCATCTACTCTTCCAACCAATATTATCCAATATCATCAAGATGCACCGCTCTATAGAAGAAAGAAGATGAAAAAGAGAAGCATGTATGTTTTTAAATCTTAATATTATATATATGATGATGATGTTTGAACCAAATATCAAAAAAAAATTACCAAAAGAAAGAAAAAACCCAAGAAAATGGCACAATGCTGTTTTAAAACAAATACACAAGCAGCCAGACAGACCGACCATTGGAGAAGAAAGAAAGCTTCAACAAGTTCATATAAAACAATAAACAATAAACACACACTCCACCAAAACACAGGGACCAGAAACCATTCTTACATATTCTCACTTGCTGCTTTACAACTTTACCTCTGCCATTTCCTCTCTGTAACAAACACACAAAGCTATCAGCACAACAAAAATAACATAAGCTTTTTGAAGTTATTTGCCACATATTAAGCAGCATAAATATTTTAAGAACCATGAGAATCAATATATGCATTGATGCATATGAAAACATGTAACTGTCAATTACTATATTCATCAATGAATATGTACTATATATGCATTGGCACATATACTCGCTAAAATTCATATACTGTGTATGGATCAATGCATACTGGTTCTCACTCAAACTTTCTCCCACACATACATACATACATGCGTATGTATATACATATATATATATATATATACACACACACACTATATCCTTGTAGTTTGAAAATTAATAAGGTCATGAATCACCTTGACTGCTGTTTCCCTTTGTGCTTTGCAGTGCCTGAGACATGGACCTCTGGATACGAGGCGAACCTTGCCTACCATTTACTGCACCAGGTAAGGAATGTCTCTTTTTCAAATAAATTTCCTTATCTTGCACATCAGGACTTGACCTTGGAGAGCTATTTGCAATAGCTTTTGCTCTTGCAGATTCAGTTGCCTGCATATAGCTTGGGACAGAGCTATTACCACTTGCTTCTTGATAAATGTGATCAGGTCTTGGTGAACCAAAAGAATTTCTTCGCTTCCCAGGTTTAGAATCTTTTGGCAATTGCTCCAAACTATTCCTTAAACCAGAATCAGGGCTAGAAGTTACACTAGACTTCTTGCTAGTCGACCAAGATTTGCGCTTTTGACTGGATACCTTTTTATCGCTTCTAGTCTTCTTAGTGTTAGTTGAGAGCTGGCTAGAAGGCGTTCCCTGTGATTCAGGGACTGTTATATGGCTTCTTGGAGACGCTTCACCTGATGATTTGTATGCTTGGTGAACTGTTTCCTGCTCCAGCTCCATGGGTGCATTAGACTTGTAAACTTGATGGCCAGACTCGGGCTCAAGTTCAATGTCTGCATCAGATGGACTGTTATCGAGGAGCTTTTGTTCAATGTTATTGCCAGGTTTTAGTTTCTCAGTTTCAGAATCATCACCACTGTCGTGTTTTTCAGGCATGAGCAGATCGTCAGAGGTCTTATTGCTACTTGGAAAAGCATGTTCTTCAACATCTATGTTATCATTACCATTCATATCACCAACGGTTTCATCTAAAACTTTAGCTTCCTCCTCAGATTTCTTGTTTCCAGCTTCAGACTGATCTGGTGAGTCAAGTGTGGACGTGATGGACAGCTCCGTCCCACATTCTGAGCCACTGTTAAGAACCACCCTTGAACTATGCACAACCAAATGTTCTTCTCGTTCAACATCTGTCATCACGGTTGCATTTTCAGGAGCAGCAGAATCGATATCTGCAGACAAACCTGCCTCGTTATCCTGATTAAAAGAATCAACTGATTTCAACGGGTTGCTCTTTGAAGTCAGCTCCTCAAACCTCGATTGAGCTGCTATAAACGCTGGATTGCTTGCCTTCCTTGATCCAAACACAGACTTCCTTCCCTCAGAATCTGCTTGGTCTGTAGCAAATCTTTGTGCTGGGGGTTTGGGTTCAGTTTCTGATACGGGTTTCTCAGAAATCGAACTGACCTCAATCTGGGCTCCAGCATTCAGATGCATAGTTTCATCTGGTGAAGAATCAGGCTTCTCCATCGAGTCTGGCGTGCATGTGTTTGCAGGTTGAGGCTTTTCTTCTTCATGGTTTCGTGCATTAGAATCTTGTTCAATATCGATCAAGTTTTCTTGCCCTGCAGATGGCACCGATGCTTCCCCAACATTTGACGTCATATCAGTTGATTCACAATGAAGAGTTACAGTTTCCACCTGGTTTTCAGTGTTTTTAACTTTGTCTTGATCCTGTTCTGGTGCATGTGACTTGACGGTTTCTAGTGAAGACACAGACATCCACCTCTCCAACCAATTCCAAGCTGAATCGGAGTTTAAAGGATCACATTTGATGTTGATTTGCTTAGACCTTGGTGTTGATTCCAGTAGCTTTTTAAGAAAATAAAACATTACTTTACCATCAATTGAAATGAAAAATAGAAGTCACAAAGAAACAAGGAGTTTCAAGTTTTACCTGGCGAGCAAGTTTATTATTTAGTAGCTTCTCGATGGATATATACGATGGATGTGAACTGATTCCTGGATTTTGCAGTCCCTGAAATAAATCAGAATGGGCAAAGAATAATTAATGATAAAAAGAGAAATCAGGTAAATGAAGATAAGAAGGGTAAAAGGTAGCAAATGATAATGAGCATATACACACATTTATATGATCTAAAGGATTCCAAATTTGTTATTAGCTTCTACATGCTTTTTTTACCTTCTCCCCAACTGCCGATCTTTCAGCAGACAGACTAGCATAACGAGCACGAACAAGAGTTTGCATCTTGACAATGGCGTGAACACAACGTAATGTTCCCACAGCATGATTACGGACCAAATGCCCTCGCACAGCAGCTTGCAACTTGACAACATTCTTATGCTTTATCAGTTGTCTCTGAGCCTGAAATTTACATGCAACCATCAATCTGAAGCACTAAACATAATGCTATATCTATGTCAATGCAGTAGCATATAATCGAAAGAAATACACACCAAGAATCTCCTAACAGCAGCCTGGATCACAAGGATGGCTGATTCATCAGGACCTGATTCACATTTAATGTCATCTTCATAAGCAGCTTCGGTCGTGGCTGATTCATCAGGAACAAATTCACGCTTAATGTCATCCTCACAAGCAGCTTCTTTCGTCATAGTTGACACTGTAGAATCCTTGGTAATCGAATTTGACAACCGAGGCATCTCTTCTGTCCATTGATTCTCAGATATCGTAGAATTAACAAGTGCTTCAGAACTAACAGTAACAGGTTCTGAGGTCTCCTTGTTCTCTGAAGAAGGTATTTCAGTAACTGAACTCTCTTTGGTCTCTGAAGAAGGTATTTCAGTAACTGAACTCCCTTTGTTCTCTGAAGAAGGTATTTCAGTAACTGAGATCTCTTTGTTTTCTGAAGAAGGTATTTCAGTAACTGAGCTCTCTTTGTTCTCTGAAGACGGTATTTCTGTCACGACAGTATTGCTCAGAACTCGATGCCTGGCTGATCTTTTCCGAAAACTCCATCCTCGTTTATCAGGACCTTTATTCTGGAGTGGGTTCAAGTAAATTATTAAATTAGTCCGAAAGAAAAAGAAATGAAAACAAGAAACCCATCAACTAGTTTAGCAAGTTACATATTATAGTTTGTTTTTTCCTTGCTTTCTTTGTTTCGGATTGAAAGAGGAAGAGTTGAGTAAATGAAAAATCCAAAGGAGGTTCATGGACAAGGGTAAAGATGTGCGAATACTGGTTATTTTGGAAATTCACTCACTGCATTGTGTTGTTAGCTCAAATTTCTGTAATGTTTTTCTCACCATATGTACTAGAAATTCAAACTAGACTTGATTTCTGTTGTGGGTAAATCATTCAAATATTCAGGTCCCGTTCAGTTTGCGGGATTTGGGGAGATTTAGAATTGGATTCCGTTCCAATCCTCCATTTGGTATAAACAAAAGTCCAGAATTGAAATCCCGGGATTTCAATGAAGACTATATTAGCATTAATCAAGATTTCACTTGTGCAAATTTATTCAGGTTTGTTTCTCGTGTTCCATATTGTTTTCCACTTTTGCATTTTGAAAAGTTCTCTACAGTTCCGTTCAAGAACAAAAAAGTACAAAGAGGAAGGTAAAGTTGATGCCAGATAATATAAAAGAAAAATGCAAACTTGAAAGACAATTGTGGCCTTGGTTTACAATAGATGATGGAAATCAACCAAGTTCATGGAGTAAAAAGACTGTCATGACCTTAGGTTTCCATTAAGTGATATCAAGAAGTAATATACAAGCTCAATCCAAGTCTAGGTTAGATTGGTTAAAAGTTAACCTCCCCCCTCTCCTAAGAAAAAAAGGAAAATTTCCCATTTCTTAAAGAAAACAAATTCCTTTAAAAGTAAATTTTGTGGACTAAACTGAAAATACACCTACTTTTTTATGGTTGACATTGAAGGTAAGAAGGCACTTTTTGGCATGATTTCCTTTTTTGCAATTCGTATGGGTCATTCAATAAAAGAAAATTGTTACAATTTGAGATAATCATCTACATATCTCAAATTAAGGATATCAAATCTAACCTTTAATCGTGGCAATCGTGCTTAATGGTTACATACGCCTAGAAGACAACACACCCTTGTATCAAGTATGATGAGTAGCATATGGCATGCTAGCAAAGCTTTCAAAAAGAATCTTAATGAGCTTAATCCAAATTCAAGCAAGCAAACCAACTAACCCTTAAGCTAACCCATCAAATTAAGCACCAATAAGATTCTTGAGCTCAACCCTATATGGCCTAGACCCTAACAATAGGGTTGACTCGAAATATAAAGGAACTAAATTTGTAACTACAATATCTGATAAATAGACACCTACCCTTAGATCATACAAGCAACTTCTGAACGAATTTAACCAAGCAAAACACCGAGAACAAACTAACATCCAAATCCCTCAAAAACCCACAATTAAATGCAATTCCCAAACTGGAAACAACTTCCTAGATTCCTTTATCCAACATTCTTAAAGTTAAAACATCTTCTTAGATCTCTTTCTATAAAAAAAGGTTCCTTTCTCCAACCTTTCCCAAAAGACAAAGCATCAATCTCTGAAACATCAGGTCTCCATCATCAGCTTCAAGACTTGATTTAAACTATTTATCCACGAATACAAAATAAGAACGAATTTAACCTAAACAGCCACCAAACCCAAAATCGCGATTTCAACCTCAAAAAACATCCACAAACACAAGTTTTATAGATTCAATTATAATCCAACGGAACCCTTTTCTCCAGCATTCCTGGAGCCCTTGAAACAAAAATTCCAAGTTAGAACAATCAAACATCCACAGAATACACCAGCTAATAAAAAAAAGGGTTAGCAGCTATTCAACTTAATTCAACCTAACCAGATCAAAATCAAGATCTCAAACCCCAACACAGCAAAACTGACGAACAAAATCTGAACACAAGCACGCACACATCTCAATTCTCAAATTAGACAAACACCCATTTCGGATCAATCAAAAACAGTGAATTAATACTATGTTGGAAAGAAAGAAAAACAACTTTTGTAATGAAGAATCACAAGGAATCGAGTAGACATACACTCCCTATTTCAAAAACTAGATAGACATTTATTTATACCTGGGAAGAAGCATCAATATCATCTTTATCGACAGATTCATCGCTACCTCCACAAGAAATGATCTTGAAGCAAGATGTGGTGGATCTTCCCATGTTCTACGGTTATAACCAGCGTCGATCAGGTAGTCTCTTTTTGTGCTGCTCACTCACATTTCAGAGTGTTTTTCGTCATTGTTGTTGGAACTTGCACCGGATAGAGAGAAAGGGGTATTTAAGGAAGAACACCACCCCTAAACATACTCCTCCAATCTAGGTTACCCATTCTCAAAAAATATAAATAAAAATTACATTCATCATTATATCATATCAACTTTTCTAAAATAATTTCTAGAAAATATTAATAAATTTGATTTTGATATATATATATATATATATATATATATATGGTTGGTTTCGTTGATAAGAAGAGTTAATGAGAGAAGTATAAGAAGGTATCTCCATCCTTGAATGCAGATTAGAATAAGATGTACCGAGATGCATTGGATCAATCACCGTATCAAGCACGATTCATGGATGAGTTTGAGGTTAAAGATGATTAATGATTCAGATTCATTCTTACATTTCTCACATTAACTCTCTTTCTTACACATAAGTGGAGATTCAAACAAGATAATCTTCATTTTACGAAAACGCGAGAACACCATTACCACATGTGATAATACACGAGAAGGGACCTGTTGGTGTGTGAACATCATGTCTTGTGACTTACGTCGCACCAAAGTCATCTGCGTCTATGATTTAGTATCACATGTGATGGTCTTGATGAATGATAGTATCACATTAATAACACATTTATCATATGCAATAATACATGTGAGGGGGGCTTAGGGCCTGTTTACTTGAGGCTTAATGAGCTTAGTGGATAAACCGGCTTATTCGCATAGACAAGCAAGGCTGTTTACCTTGGGCTTATTCGCTCAGAAATGGGCTTATTCGCCCAGATGAAAAACCTGTGTTGTCCAGGTTAAGCCAATGTAAAAGACTTGCCTTACCCTTACACAATMGTCGCGCCTCTCTCAMCT